GTGACCATGTACACAATTGCAACCGAAATTAAAAATTTATAATTTTAAAATTTTTTAATAATTAATCCGAAATGAAAAGATTATTAATCTAGAATGATGTCGCTATGGTATATATTAGGATTAAGTTAAAAAATAAGGATTGACAAAATGGGTGAAAAATGAAAATAAGGATCAATTTGTTATCACTTTGAGTTTCTCAAATTTTTTAAAAATAGTAAATATTGATATTGGGGATGAAGCTAGTAAATGCCAGAAAGAAGTCTATGAAAAAGATTCTCTGAAAATTTCAAGTAAATCGGTTCAGTACAACTCGAGAAATCGTGGACATCGTATTGAAAAAAATAATTTGGAAAAAAACGCGTCCAAAGTTTTTACAAACATAGAAAAGGAAAGATAATTATCATGAACAAACAGTTGTATCTCTGAAAATAATTCAACTTAAATAGTATTAATATTATAACTTACGAGCGATATCAAGATGACCAGTGATAACAATTTCAAGAGAAAAATAAAGAATAAGATAAAGATAAATAAGATAAGATGAAAAAAATAAAGATGAAGATTGAAGAGATAAATAGCTGACTGAATGCAAATATTGAATGAAATAGATATGTATATATAAAAATTGTTTCATAATCTCTTATACCAGGTACTCCTGCCTGACATATTAAAATATTATGCCACTAATAAATTAAACAAAAAAAATTCTAAGAAAATTATAAAATCTTCTCGTATACGTACATATTCTTGAATAGTTAAGCTTTGAAAAAAAAAACGATTTTTTGGAATTTCTACAGTAGAATACCCCCTTAAGAAATATTTAAGAATTAATCGATACAAACGATATAAATTACTTACAACGTCAAGATAACGTCGAGAATGCGTCGCATCCTCATCGTGACGTCGTACGTATTAATATCAAATGACAATGACCATAGAGCAGCCTGACGCGCACTTACATACCCACATACAAATATCAATTACTTCAAATACCATTTAATTTTCCTATTAATAAATTTATTACTTATCAAGCTAAAATAAACCATTATAAGATGAGTACATATAATTTCCTTTCAA